GCTCAGTAGGACCCTTAAGCACTAGGTAGACACTATGATCTTTATTTATAGATGAGGAAATTGAAGCTTATAGAGGTTAAGTAACTGGCCTATAGTCTCACGGGCAATAAATATTGGAAAAAGATTTGAACCCAAGTCCTACAACTCCAGAACCTGAGTTTCTCCCAGAAACTTTATGAAAACTCTACAACCTTATAAACAAGAAAACAGAAAGACACTCGCAGAAAACAAGACACTTCCAGATCTAGAGGTCCCAATTTGTGGACTGGGTTCCCAAAGGATGTGTCAGGTTAACCATCATTCATATATACATCCCAGTAGGAAAGAGAACAGTATATTAATAGCATGTGTCTCATGAGATCAATGAAACCATTAAATGAAGTGATTTTGGTTTAGTGTTTGGTCCATGGGAAGATGTAACAAATGTTAGTGATGGGAACGATAATGAAGAAGATGAAGAAGAAGAAGAAGAAAAAGGCGGATGAGAAGAAGGATGATAAGGAGGGGGAAGAGAAACATCAAAAGCTTTACTCATTTGCCTCCTTTACTAACGATTACAACTGCTTATGATGGAATTTGGGTGGTTATCATGATAGGACACAGCAAACTCAGGAGGTGGTTGGAAAAGATGCTATAATTTGGAGAAAAAGCTTTGTCTCTATGGAATTTGAGGACAGGTTTACTTTTCAAGCTGGAGATGTCACAATGCTCACCTCCTTTCTTCCAACAGACACCCCAAGGGCTAAATAGTTCCCTAAGACCCTTGGATTCATTTCCTCACCCTGAAAATCCAGTGAGACCCTGATTTCAGGGAATGGTGAGATGTGAGAGTGAAGGGAGGTTGGAAGGGCCTGGGGCCAGTGCTTGGACATTGATAACAGGTCTTCTTCTAATCCAGACCCTAGGAGACAGTCCTAAGGCCAATTTATTATGTTCTAACTGCCGCACTGTTAATCCCAGATACTAATGCATACAAGTAGCCTGTCCATGGAAAGAATAGGGTTAGAGGTTAGGGAAGAAACTACCAGTCCAGCCATCCAAAGATATATAACTAAAGTGCTCAGCTCTGCATTGGGGGTGAGGTTATTGGACATTAATTATCAGAGGCCTCCTAAAACTATTTTGGGAACTCAAATCTAAGCCAAAAGCAAAGATCAACATGTACATGTGTGCCTCTGATGGCTGGAGAGAAAAGTCCACCATGAGAACAGAAGAGAGGGCCAGAGACAGAGACCTATACAAGGGCAAGACCTTTAATACTAGGAATTCTGGTTTGATCTAATCATGTCTGGTCTGAACAGGCAGATTACCAACTCTGCCTTTGTTAACAGACATATACTAGTGAGGGGTGGGCAAACCCCAGATACAAATAGGAGCCAAAGGAGATATCTTCCTCCTGTGCAAGGTGCACCTCCCTAAAACTCGGCACAGTTTGACATTGTTTACTTACGTCTTCCCTCTACTTTACCAGCTGTAACTGTTCTAACCTCAGCTAGGATGGCTGCAAGTGTCTAGTACTGTAGACACCCTACCACCTACATGCCCACCTTTCTGTCCAGGCTTCCTCTTGTCCTGCCAGATTGTGGCCTTATAGGAGCCCAGAGGAGGAAGAGAGTAGCGTGGAATGGCCATGTCTTCTTGGTCTCCTTTGAAGGGGCTGAGCTTCAGCTGGGTCTTGAAGCACAGAAAAAATTAAGGCAAGTATGCATTCTAGGAGAGGCTATTCCTAATTTCTGCAATGGAAAGAAAGAACATAGTTATTATGATGATAAGCTCAAGGAGAAGGAGAATCCATCTATACAGCTAAAGTGGGAAATCAAAATATGGAGGGAAAGTTGGGAGGGAAGCTGACATACCTCATCATGCCCAGGAGATAGGGAAGAAGACTCTTTGCTCATGTCCCAGGGCTGAGATGAGGGATAGGCCTGCACCCACTCTGAGGCTTAGGTGTAAGCCTATGGAGGGTCCCAGAGCCCCTCCTCAAATATCCCCAACCTTTCCTACGCCATGGATTCCACTGGCCTTCTGCTGAAGCAAACTGATCTTATTGCAGAATAGTGTTTTAAAAAAAACAACACAGAACAACAAAGGAAACCAATTACATTGAAATATAGTTATCAAAATAATTTTTTAATGTACGCTTCCTTGTTAATGCATTAAATCATGCTTTTCACACTTTCTGTGGCGAAGGACTAATTTACTTATCTAATCCATCTTGGACTATCAACTTCAACAAATAGAATAAAAATACGAAATAAAAGATAAGTTGAAAAACAAAACCCAATTTTTATATGATTCAAAAAACATTATATTGTCAAATTGTTATAAAAGCTTCTAAATGTTTACACTCAATTCCTGTATTCCCTTGTCATGAAACTCTAATTGTGCAGGGACTGGCATGAGGCCACAGACCACCGCTCTGAAAAGCTCTGTATTAAATATGAGATCTAGCTGTGGGTCTACTAATGACTCTAATTTTCAAGTCATGATAAGCATAAATAATCTATCATTTGCATGTGAAATATCTATTAATTCTATTGGTGGCAAAATCAGTTATTGTTAATTCCATTAGGGCATGATGACTACTTTCATGATGGGAAGAAATACTAAATTTCAACCATCGGTTGGTGAAAATGAAGATGTAATTTTCTTCCCTTGCCCAAGTTCATCGACCTCCTAAATCCTCTTTCCAGATCCGGTTGGAGCTCCAGCCTAAGGCCCCCCACCCCACCCCCAGCCTTAAGCAATAGGAGGGGTAGTAAAGACTAGAAAAGGAATAGACACAACCACAACCACAGGAGAAGATGTTCCCCGAACCTCAGCAGTGCAATTCCTTCTTGTATCTTGAGTCCCGAGGTCATAGAGTCAGCTCTTGTGGTTCTGACTAGGGGAGGAAGCAGCCTGGGCGTGGAGGACCACAGGCCCAGACTCCAGGTAAGAGGGAGCTCAGATAATCAGAACTGATTGTCTCAGATAAAGGGACAGAAGCCCCAGAAGAAAAGGCAAGAGGCGTTGCAACCATGGGATCAGATGAAGGAAGCTGTCAGCCGGAACAAAGAGGTTTACAGCTTCCTTGGCCTTGCAGAGCTCAGAGGTGCAGGGGGGCCCAGGGGCCTCCACTAGAGCCCCCTTTCTTTGTTTTGGGATTGTGGTTTTTGCTGCTGCGCTTGCCCAGGCCCAGACGCATTTTCACCTCACTCATGTCCCCCCCCCCCCCCCCCCCCCCCCCCCCCCGCCCATACTGAAGGTTACCTTGTGCCAAACATGAGGGTAAGCACGGCACTTTTCACTCAACCCTAAAAGCCATGCTGGAGAATATGTGTCATAATCATCCCCGTATAATAAGTAGGGAAATGAGCTGAAGGCCATCCAGCTAGCACAAGTGTGAACAGCACACCTGGGACGTAATCGGGACCCTCTGAAGGTGGAGTCTGTGGTGGCTGCATGCCTCCTGTGTGCCAAATCCTTGGTTCACTTGGAGCAATACTGACCAGCTCTCCTAAGCACACTCAGGGGTGTTGGATCTACAAGGATAAACATAATCTTTTACCTTCAACATTTCTGGTATTGTTTGCATTTTACAAGAGTATGCATTTTGTTTTACTTTGTTTAAGGAAGAAATATATACATGAAGCAGAAAACATGAGCTGGCCAGGCTTCAGACTGGCCCTGTGTTGGCATCCAGGCCCCCATGTGGCACTGGAATGCTTCCATGGGCGGGTGAAGACTTGGTGTCGTTTAAGGATCTGCAATCGGGGCCAACAGTGCCCCCTAGAGGATTTGGGGTGCACTGTCAAGGTTCAGCCTACCAGCTTTGGTGGCAGTTGGGATGGGCAGGGTTTTGTTTCCCACGAAATGGGCAGAACTTGAAAGTCGCCACCACAAAACTAAAGAACATCAGGGAAAACTAAGGCCTAATCCATGCCAGTAGACAGCTCATGTGCTGCCTTGACAAGTGCAGTCAGAGGGGGGGAAAGGTGAAGGAAGGAGCAAATGTCCAAGGGCTCTTCTGGAACTATGCTTGGGAAGTTTCCAGGTCAGGGATTCAAAGCCAAGCTGTGGCCTGAGGAACAAGGTTCAAGTTCAGTTCTTTCAGTCATGAAACTTGGGCAGTCACTTGCATGTACGATGCTCACACCCACATTTACAGATGGGGAGCTGTTGAGAGGACCGAAGTGAAAAAATTTTGTTTACGTGCTTAGGTCTTATTATTGTCAACAGGTAAAAATACAGCCCTGTTTCTAGGTGCTGCCTGTGTTGTCACTGCCCATCAGAAATGGCATGTTTGGGCTCTATAAAGGCTGTTAACCCGTATGGGTTATATAATATAATATATGTTATATATTATATTATATTATATTATATTATATATATAATTATAATATATAATAAGCTATAAAAGCTTTATTTCAGAGGAAACTACTGTCCTGTATCTGGAAAACCAGGTATCCTGAGGCAGAAGACCCTTGAGACAAGAGCTAAGGGCTGACATCACAGACAAAGCTCAGGAACGAGACAACGATGGCAACTTTCCCCACTGCTGTTCGACATTGTACTGGAAGTCCTAGCCAGAGCAATTAGGCAAGCAAGACAAATAAGAAGCATTCATATTGGAAAGGAAGAAATAAACAATCTTTTTTGCAGGTCACGCAATGCCATGTGTAGAAGATCCAAAGAACAGTGAAGTTGTGAGATACAAGACCAACACAGAAAAATCATTCGTGTTTCAGTACACCAACAATGAGCAACCCAAAAAGGAAATTAAAAAAGCAACTCCATTTACAATAGCGTATCTTTTGTAAATAATAGATAAACAATAAACATTGTTTAAACAATAAAATATCTAAGAATAAACTTAACTGAGGAGGTGAATGGCTTATATACTGAAAACAATAAGGCATTGCTGAAAGAAATTAAAAAAGACCTAAATATACGGAAAAACATCTTGTGTTCATGGATTGAAAGAATTCATATTGTTAAGACGTCAGTACTACCCAAAGGTATCTATAGATTCAGTGCATTCCCAATCAAAAGGAGAAATGATGGATCTGCAACATGGGAGCTTATGTTTTCAGACACCTCAAATTATGGCAGATAGAGATTACCCTGTGATTGCCAATTCTAAAACTGTGGTGGTAATTTCAGGAATCTTCCGGTGGGAGGGAGAGAGCTATCCAAATCTGGTGCAGAGGAATATTAATGTCTTCAAATGTATTATTTCTCAGTCAAGCACAGTCCTAATTGTATCATAATTGTGGTTTCCAACCTAGTGGATACTCTCATATATGTTACCTGGAAACTAAATGGACTATCCAAGCACCATGTGATTGGAAGTGGGTGTAATCTGGATTCTGCTAGATTTTGTTATTACATAGCTGAAAAACTTGGCATCCATCCCAGCAGGTGCCATGGATGGATTTGGGGAGAACATGGACATTCAAGTGTAGCCGTGTGGAATAAAATGCATATGGCAGGGGTTTCTCTCCAGGAACTGACTCCAGACTTGGGAGCAGACAGTAACAGTGACACTTGGAAGAAAGTGTATAAGACAGTGGTTGAAAGAACCTATGATGTCATCAAGCTAAAAGGATATACCACCTGGGCTACTGGATTAAGTGTGGCTGATCTCACGGAATCCATGTTGAAAAATCTATCCAGAATTCATACAATGTCAACGATGGTGAAGAGAATGTATGGCATTGAGAACAAAGTCTTCCTTAGCCTTTCCTAAATGTTCAGGGATTAACCAGTGTTATCAACCAGAAGCTGAAGGACGATGAGGTTGCTCAGCTCAAGAAAAATGCAGATACTTTATGGGACATCCAGAAAGACCTAAAAGACCTGTGACTTCTAGCGTCTAGAAATTTAAACACTACAACATGATTAAAACTGAGTCCTTTAGTTTTCAACCCTGTATGTGGATCACGGCTTGCTTTTATCTTCCTAAATGTGCAAATCTGGGCTCATGGACTCAAAGCCCATGCTTGCAATAGAAGCCTCGAACAAATAAAATTAACTGTCATAGTGTGCTGCTAAAAATAAAAGTTGCAAATAGGTACGCAAGCAAGTGCGTGTACACACTTTTGTAGCAGCACTAGTCACAATAGCTAAAAGATGGAAACAATGCAAATGTCCACCAGTGGATGACTAGATAAATTGAGCTACATACATATTATGGAATATCATTTCATTGCAAAAAGGAATACAGTACCAATATATGGTGCAATATGAATGAGCCTCAAAACATCATGCTAAGTGAAAGAAGCCGGACACAAAAGGTCATATATTGCATGATCCCATTTATATGAAATATCCAGAATTAATAAATCCATAGAGATTGGGGACATGGAAGGGAAGGAGGGGAAATGAGGAGAAACTCTTTCATGGGTAAGGAGTTTAACTTCCAAGTGATAGGAAAGGCTTGGATAAAGGTGGCGGATACACAATATTGTGAATTTCTAAGTACCTGAATCATTCACTTTAAAAATGGTTAATTCTGGGGTGCCTGGGTGGCTCAGTCGGTTATGTTTCTGACTCTTGATTTCAGATCAGGTCCTGATCTCACAGTTTCATGAGTTCCAGCCGCACACTGGCAGTGTGGAGCCTCCTTGGAATTCTCTCTCTCTCTCTCTCTCTATCTCTCTTTCTTTCCCTCTCTCCCTTTCTGGAGGAGAGGAATTCTGCCCCTCCCCTGTTGGTGCTGGCTCTGTCTCTTTCCAAATAAATGATAAACTTTTTTTAAAAAAAATAGTTAATTCTGTGTTATGTGAATCTCACCTCAATAAGTTAACTTAAAAAAGAAAAAGTAAGAGCTAAGAACTCTGGGATGGCTGGCCCGTTACTACCTAAGGTGCAATATGTAACATGGAATACCTTATTAATGCTCAGAACAAGACCTAGTGACAGGTGGGAAAATTTTCCTGATGAGGAAATGGTGGTGAGCAAAAACAATATTTTGGAAAATCTACAAGAACTTATAGGATAGGGTGGGGCGCCTGGGTGGCTTAGTCGGTTAAGCGTCCGACTTTCGCTTAGGTCATGATCTCGCGGTTCGTGGGTTCGAGCCCCGCGTCGGGCTCTGTGCTGACTGCCAGCTCAGAGCCTGGAGCCTGTTTCGGAGTCTGTGACTCCCTCTCTCTCTGACCCTCCCCTGCTCACGCTGTCTCTCTCTCTCTCTCCTGGAAATAAATAAAAACATTTAAAAAATTTTAAAAACAAGAACTTATAGGATAGGGTAAAAGATCTGTGGTTTCTATTGGCGGCAAAGTTACAGGAACTGTGAACACTACTGTCTTTTGTTGCCTACATTCGTAATAAAAAATGCTAGAATTTTGTTATAGATTAATGAAAAGAATGATAACTTTTTCTTTTCCTAGATCATGAACTCCCAGGATAGAGATCCTTGCTCTAGGGTGGTAAAAACTGAAGAAAGAGTAAAGGAATTCACTTCAGAAGAAAGATAGCCGCTATCATCAACTGGAACGGATCTCTCAGATCGGTGGTCAGGAAGCTACAGTCCACAGGCCAAATGCAGCCTCTCACCTGGGTTTGCAAGACATTGTTTAGTGGAACACAGCCATGCCCGCTGATTTACGTATTACCCGTGACTACTTTCATGCTATAATAGTGCAGCTGAATAGCTGAAAGGGAATCCCAACAGCCAGCAAGGCCAAAATATTTACTATCTAATCCTTTCCAGAAAAATGTTGCTCATCCCTGCTTTAGGGGAATGCCACCCACTTCTCTGGGGATGCCACCCTCTTAGCTGGCCACCCCCTGTGGCTGGGCAGACTGGTGGGTACCATGTGCGCACAAGGAAATAGTCCTGCTATCCAATGTGCTTCTGGTTGAAAATAGCAAATGTTCACTGAAACCAACAATTAAAATTAAAAGTTTACCTTTCATAGGCCCGGGCAAGATGGAGTAAGCCCATGCCAAGACGTCCCTGCCACAGAGTACAGCCATAAAGCCTGGGCTCCAATCACAGAACAACTATTTGAAGACTCGAGAAAGTCAATCAGAGCAGACAGATGAGGGAGATGAGCATTTGAAATAACACCAAGCTGGCAGTGAGTTTAACGCCCTGCCCCAGAGCCCCCCGGCCAGAATGCAATGCAGCCTGAGATCCCGAGGTGGCCATCGCTGTCCACAGAGAGATTCAGAGCCTTCTGGTTCCTGGGAGAGAAGTGGCAAATGGTTCCCAAAGCTTAGAGTGTGGGGAGATCCCTCGTCATCGTTTCTCTTCTCCATTCTCTCCTCCCCAAGCGTCCGAGCACCATTCCATGGTGGTGGGGGCTGTGACAGGTGGCGATGGGGTGGCTACAAAGGAATTTCATAGTAAAAGAAAGGGTAACCCTCCTTTCTAGTTTGACTAGACTAAACCCCTACTGCCTTTATGCTTTTTCTGCCCTGCTACCACTCGGCCCCAGAAACGGGCCCAGTATCGGGAAGCGTGTAATACAACGGAATAAATGAAGCCCATCTTTCTGCTGGAAGGACTAAAACAAGAATCCCCAGACACGCAGAAAGTACCAGGAAGGCCACAGGGAGTGAGAGATGTAGAAAAGTAATCCCCCCCAGTTGTTGTAAACTCTCGAGTTCATCCTCACACTGCACACGTGTGCCTATAATCCTAACAGCATACCACAGATTCTGAGAGTTGAACTATAGGGCAGGCCGCAGCCCAGATCGCAGACCGGGCACTGGGCAGCACATCCACAGGACAGATCTAAACAGCACAGCCAAGGCTTTGGAAACGCCCCTGACCTCGGACCCACAGCCCCATAGAAGCCAGGTGGAAAGTGCAAGCTGAACCCAGCTGGATCAGTTACCCACTGGAACAAAAATATCAACATTCTCCACAGGATTTAATATGTATAGGTTACATCTGAAACTAACACAGTGTGTCAAAATACTAGCAATAGAACGGAGTTTCCCCCGTCTGACTGAAGGGTATTTATTCAAACAAAATTCACACAAGAGAACAAAATGCATTTGAATAATGAAACTCACAAATGATGATGCTTTGAAAGTTTGTACCATTTGTACTTCTCATGGTTTTAAAGCGTAAAACTCCACTAAGACTTTTGGAGCCCCCTGTTCAAGCCTGACCATACCCCTCTCGTCCTTAAGGCTCATCATTGCTCCCCAGAGCCCCCCCTCCCCCAACAATTGCCTTCAGGACAAAGGCGTGCCAAGTCCTGCTACCACCCCTTGCCCTCTCAATCACCACAGGTGCCCTCAGACTCTGAGCTGCATGTCGAATCTGGACCCTTGCCATTACCGTATGCTTTTTAGTTGGAATGCAAGCCCCCCTGTTCATTGATTCCCCCCTCCTTCTCTGCAACGTTCAACTGGGTATCTCTTCCTTCAGATGGGAGCCTTCCCTAGAAACCAATGCTCCCTGTCCTCCTCTCTGTGCTCCCTCTGGACCCTGTGCTGACCTCATCCTGGGCTTAACTCACAGTGTCACGTGCCCAGTGATTTTCTTTTTGTGAGGCAGTTTCTCCCCCACTGTGAGATCTGGAAGGAAGGGATCAGTGGGTTGAAAGTGAGCGAACGAGCAAGAACATGACCCAAATATTCAGGAAGCAAACATCAAGAGTCTTACTAGCCACTTGGCTATTGATTATGTGTGTCTTTTTTTTCCCTAAATGTTTTATTTATTTTTGAGAGAGTGCAAGCTATGGAGGGGTGGAGAGAGGGGGACAGGGGATCCAAAGTGGGCTCTGCAGTGATAGCAGCAAGTCCATTGTAGGTCTTGAACTCTCGAACTGTGAGATCACCACCTGAGCCAAAATTGGATGCTCAACTGACTGAGCCACCCAGGGGCCCCTGACTTTTTGTGTCTTAAAATTGGCTTGACCTACTGGGCATCGAGTCACCATTCTTCTATTTACTAGTTGTGACCTTGGTCAAATCCCTTTACCTCTCCGTATCTTTCTTGTCTCTCAAATGGTAAAATCCCCAAGTTCCGATGGCACTGAAGATGTGGAGAAAAAATCAAATGAAGTTAAGGATGTCAACATTCTTTCCTCTGGCAAGAGGTTATTGTTACAAGTTCCTAAGTCACACAGCGTGAAGAAGTTGAACGTCGGAAGCAGAAGGGGCGTGGAGACAGCAAAGCTGAAATCCTTCATTTTATTAATAAGGAAGTGAGGTCAGAGTGTGAAGGGACCTATCCAAGCTCCCAGAGTGAGGCAAGCTCAGGCTTTGCTCAATCCCAGGGCTCCCAGCTCTTCCCAACACCTTGCCCTCCTTGGCATTCTCAGGCTTCACTTTGGACAAGAGGATTCTTTTTCTTAAGCAGAGTCAGTTCTTCTTCTTCATTCTTCTCCTTCTCCTTCCTCTTCTTCCTTTTCTTCTTCTTTTGTTACAAATCAGAAAATAGACATTTAAAAAAATGTTTATTTATTTTTAGGGGGGTGGGGAGCAGAGACAGAGAGACACACACAGAATCCAAAGCAGGCTCCAGGCTCCGAGCTGTCAGCACAGAGCCCAATGCGGAGCTTGAACTCATGAACCATGAGATCGTGACCTAAGCTGAAGTCAGATACTCAACGAACTGAGCCACCCAGGTGCCCAGAATAGACATAGAAGTGCTCTGAGTCTTCGTTGATTATGAAAACCTAACTGCGCATACCCACATGATGTCCCTGAGTGCCGGGTACGTTTCTAGATGAGTATTTGCTGTGCAAAGAGGCACATGTTAAACCAGAAAACCTGCTAAAGTATCCGCTCCAACCAGACCCAGAGAAGAGCAAAACTGACTCATCTTTTAGGGATATTGTCTTTCAGGGACTCAGTTGCCATGGCGAGCATGTCTTGGCCCACAAACGGCCCCCCTG